ATACACACACACTGACTGGACACTCCAGTACATTAACACTGCACTGAGAGAGAGGGGGGTTCATACAGACGCACTGACTGACAATACAGTACATCCAATCACAGTGGCCTTTGTTTGAATGGGTTTTGTAGTTAGACCTCAGCCTGGGCTGCCGTTGGGCCGCTGTGACTGCTACTTGAAGGGACAGGGGTTAGCTGGGTACCCTGTTGGCTCAGCAGCGCCTCCTGTGGCTGACTGGAGCACACGTGATCCTCTGTGTGGGGAGTCCTGTCTGCCTTGTTAGGCTCCCAGTGTGTCCGAGGAAGGTGAGCACCTAACCAGTGCATCACAGCGGCAAGGCGATGACCTTTAACCCTGGGCTGAGCCTGTGGGGGCGCGGCTATAGTGACGCTCACCTTTCTGATAAACCTCACACCTCCGTGTGTTGATCAGATGGACGACACCACAGGAATGCAGATGTTTTTTTTAAAAAAAACTTTATTAGTTGAAAACCACAGTATCTGGTGTACAGAGCACAGAAACTGCAGTAAACTGGCAGTTGCTCTCGCTGCGTGTGCGGCCACTTTATTCGGACCTGCCTTACTGAGGGAGTGTGGTCTCCGTGTAGCTGAAGCACAGTTATGAGCTGGTTTATGTGATGCACATAAATAGATCTGTCTGTGATGGCCAGTGGCAGACCGTGAGATCACTGGGTTACTCAGCCCGGCCCCTGCAGCTGGGAGGAAGCTGTAAGAGGACAGTTTCTCACTGAGGGACGACAGCACTGGACACCCGCCCTGCAGGCAGGGGGCGGCGCTGGCGCCTGCCAACGCACGGACACACAGGAGTTTGAGTTGCGAGGAGCTGTTTTCGCCCCTGCCGGTGCTCAGCAGGGACATTTTTCCAATTTAGTACATTATTTTTAACTGGACGCAGAAGGAGGCTGGCAGATTTTTGACTGGGGCCAGACAAGAGCTTCAATCACAGTAACAGTCTGAGCTCCCCAGCTGAGCAGCCCCCCGGTGCACACCTGTCCTGGCGTGTAGACCCGTGTGTCTACAGCAGCGCGCCCACCGACACGCTCTCTTTAGCAATGCTGTCGGGGAGGCAGACAGGCAGCCTGCCATTCCTTAAGGCTGTTCGTTTAAAAGTAATAAAAATGTAAACAGTGGGTTTGCATGTACACTGAAAATATAAATAAAATCTAGACCAGAAAAGGTCAAATATTTTTACCTTTTCCTGCCCACACCCCTAACCCCACCACCCACAGTTAGGCCCCGTTCCCCTCTGCGGTGACATCATCGTGAGGTGCTGCCACCAGCAATGACATGTTTAGAGCTCATCGTGCTTCTTGGTGAGGTCCTCGCCGTAGTTGGTTGCCTGGCTCCCCACAAACATGTTCCAATTGGCCAGGATCTCCTCCTTAGTGAGCTTTTCGTCCTGCAAGCCAAACGCAGCAGAGAGCACAGCTGTTAGACAAAACCAGTCGACACCGATGAAGGAGGGGATTTCTCCATTATTAAGCTGGGACCTGTCTAGCAGATGAGTTAAATAAAAGAATAGCCTGATGGAGACAGACGGGTCTATTGGGTCAGTCCTGTCTGTGGACACGGGGACAGATGGAGACAGACAGGTCCATTGGGTCAGTCCTGTCTGTGGACACGGGGACAGATGGAGACAGACAGGTCCATTGGGTCAGTCCTGTCTGTGGACACGGGGACAGATGGAGACAGACAGGTCCATTGGGTCAGTCCTGTCTGTGGACACGGGGACAGATGGAGACAGACAGGTCCATTGGGTCAGTCCTGTCTGTGGACACGGGGACAGATGGAGACAGACAGGTGTCTTGTCTGTCCAGCAGGAGTGGGTTTTGTTGACACAATGAGAGACAGGCAGGTGGTACCTTGTCTTTATCCGTCTCATAGATGAGGTGTTTGGCTTCGGTGTCAGCGTGGTCCACTTCTCCTGGCAGGATCCAGTGAGCCACTTCACTGGTGTCCAGAGACCCGTCCTGCACAACATACAATACACAACACACTGTACAACACGACTACACTACAGTATACGTATACAATGTACAACAAAAATACAGAGCCATGTAACTACACACTGCACAACATGTACCCACAAATTATCCACAAGTACACAACAGTGCACCTCCATCCGGTACAATAAAACTACACTACAGTATACCTACAACACAACCCCTAACCCTTATTCCATTTTTGTCTGTGGCTCCTTAACCACTAACCTACAGGATGTACAATCTTAATTCTAAACCTACACACTAACCCTACACCTACACACCAACCCATCTCCTGTCCCTGTGCGCTAATCCGTAACCCTACACACCAACTCCAACCCTAACCGCTAACCCAAGTCCTGCACAGTAATCCTAGCCCTATCTCCAACCCTTAGCCTAAATCCTAGCCCTAACCCTAGCTCTACACACTAACCCTAATCTCACCCTAACCTTAACTTTAACCCTACGCACTAACCCAACCCCTAAATCTACACACCAACCCTGCACACTAACCTTAATCCTACCCATCAACCCCAACCCAATACACCCACCCAAGCCCCAACCATAAACACTAACTCTATTAAATCCTACCCCTCTCTCGCCTGTGGCTCTGTGATCACTGACCTTGTTCAAGTCTCTGAATTCACTGAACTGCTGCCGCTCCTTCTGCACCCAGTCAGGCTCCGCCTCCCCCTCATCAGGAGTGAACATGTCGCCTGAAAGAGAGGGGAGGGGTCAGAGAAAGCCCTGCACCAGTCACAGACAGGGGGCGGGGTCGCAGAGACACACATGGCCCATGTGAGGAACAGTAGAAGTAAACCCGAGCCTTTGTGTCAGCTCTCCTCCGATTCAAAACCCAGCAGAGTTTAATCAAAAGCTTCTTTTGAATCAATCAATCAACTAATTTGAATAAATCAAATGCCCTACAACATCAATAGTTGCTGCAAAGAGCTCCTTCTGACATTTCAAAGGACAGAATTCAAGGTCACTCTTTCATTAAGGCAGACATGTTGTGCTAGTGGCAGAGATGGGGGATTAAACCAGGTCTTGTAGTTTAACTACTGGCAGCCTGTATGTTAATAACAGATCTGTCTGAGGCTGTCATGTCTGTTTTTGCTGGTCTTGGGCTGGGCTGCTGTAACACCTCAGTTTCCCTTGGGGATCAATAAAGTCTCATCTATCCACTGTATCTTACCTATGTACTCATTCACGTTAATCAGGCCGTCTCCATTCTTATCAATGTCCTCCACAGTTTCCTACATTGAAAGAAAGTGACATCAGAGACTGTACTGACCCAGTTCTTGTCTAAATGGGTCCAGATTCATGAG